TGTGAGAAGGGTTATATTTTTCTTATACTCATTACAACCCATTTAGGGGTAAATATACAAGAAGACCTTTCAACAAATAAGGAATTAATCTAAACCTATAAGGAAAACAATAAAATTACAGAATATACAAAGACATAATGTAAATTCTAATAAGGAAAAAACTTCATTTACGGCTTGATTTTCTACAGCTTTTGTCCTATGGAATTGTGCGGCTAGAGCATTACTTTGGCTTTTGTGGAGAGAAAGGAATAGTAGACTTTTTGAAGATAAGAAATCCTTGGTGGATTCTCTTTGTTGAATATATAGCATACAGTTTCTTGGTGAGCTTCCATCTACAAGAAGGTTTTTTGTAATTACAGTCTTCAAATGATTATACGGGATTGGAAAGCTGTGATTGTATATTTCTTTGTGGAGGGTTTTCTCAACCCTCTGTCTTTAGGCTCTCTTTTTTTAATGGAATTCATCTTGTTTGTTTCTTATCAAAAAAAAAAATCCTCATCGTCAGTCCTTCACCAACTCCTATTTGCAGTCCCTCATAGATTGCACGACAGCTTTCATACACGTTAAATCGAATAGATGTGGCTTTCTTCCAACTTCGATCAAAATAAGTGATGCTAAGCTAGGTGACTATGTCGTCCGGCTTGTCGGGTTAAGTCGTGTAAATCCTCATCATTAGTCCTTCACCAACTCCGACTTGCAGTCACTCGAAAACTCCATGGATGTCGCTCAATTCTGCAACATGATGAGAACTAAACCGTCAGACCATTTTCTCTCCCCTATTAATAGCGCCCGAAGGGAGCCCTTATTCGAGGCAGATAAGGAAGCGGATTTGTCGTATTCATTTGGGCTAGAAATCCCAACGACCATGGAAAAGGAAAAGTCTCGAACTAAGAGAATAAAGCTGGTACCTAATATTTTGCCTTTATTCATTCCCTGAATCCTGCAGCACCCATTAATTCGAATTTTCCATACGTTAGAACTCGTTTGCCACTTGGAAAATCCTCCAGGAAATTTACTCAGTCATTTCCTCTCTCATATTCTCAAAGGCATTTTCGTTTCCTCTAAAGATGCAGTTTCGAAGGAATTAATTGATATTCCTATAACGAACCTCATTACCGACTATGAGAAGGCACACGTCATGGACACCAAAGATTCTGATTCTGTTGGGCCCGACCCTACTCTAAAATCTAGCTTGATTCATTCTACTAGGATTGTGGCAAATCCATCTCCGAGTAACGTTGTTTTATCAGAAGATGAGGAGGAGCTTAATGTTAACATCAGTAGTCCAGACGTCACTCCTCTAGCTGAAAAATAGTTAGATGTCCTTGCTCACTCAAAGGCCATCTCATTCGGGAAAGACTTTATTAATCTATTTGGCCTGAATAACAAGTCTCCTCTCCTTGATTCAAGGCTTTCGCAAGACAACCTCCTCTCTTCGGAAGATAAATCCTTGCAGGTAATTTCAGATCATCCCTCTAATGTAGATCTACTACCTCTGCTCCTCCTTACTTCAAGAACTTTGGCTTAACATTAGCGCCGGTTCTTATTTCCCAATGACAATTCTGTCAAGGAATGTTTCTGGTATCCATGCTTATAAGAAACGGTTGAAGATCAAGAAATTTCTTTTGAAGCACTGTCCTGATATTGTTTTACTTCAAGAAACGAAGTTGCAGCAGTTAGATGAGAAAATCATCAAATCTATTTGGAGCTCCAATGATGTTGGTTGGCTCATATTTGATTCTATTGGAAGATCAGGAGGAATTCAATTCTCACATTATGGGATGAAAGCAAAATGCAAGTGCAAGAAGTCCTTCAATGATTATTTTCCTTAACTATTTCTTGCTCTCTCTCATATGCAGGGTATTTTTGTAACTAATGTATATGGGCTGACGGATTATAGAGAAAGAATTCAGTGACATGCAAGGATTTACTGATAAGGTGCGTGAGAGGTGACTTCACGGGATACCAAGTTTTCTATCTTTATTAATGGTAGACCTGGGGGCAGAATCCGCACTTCCAGGAGTTTAAGGCAAGGTGATCCACTCTCCCTTCCTTTTTCTCCTTGTGAGTGATGTCCTGGGTAGTTTATTGGATAATATCTATTCCAAAGGTCTTTTTGAGGGCTTTACAGTAGGTAGAGACTTGGTACATATCTCCAATTTACAGTTTGCCGATTATACTATTTTGTTTAGTAAAGACGAAGACACTATACTATCAATATCCTTGTTGTCCGAAACAATCAAAGACTTTGAATGGCTTTTGGGGCTGAAAGTTAATTGGGAAAAGTCATCTTTAGTGGTGTCAATATCGATTTTCTAAGGGTGCAGCAAGTTGCTCAAGGCCATGGGTGTACGGCTTAAAAACTTCTGATTATTTATTTAGGATCGTCTCTTGGAGGAAATCCTAAACATCATGAATTTTGGTGTCCCATTCAAGATAAGATTTCTCACAAGCTTGATCGAAGCGTTATCATTTATCGAGGGGTGGGATATTGACTTTATGTCATCTGTTCTAGGGAATCTTCCCTTATATTACTTTTCTTTTCTCTTTTCAAATGCCAGCACGAATTTGCAAAAAGTTGGAAAAGCGTATGCGCTCTTTCTTGTTGGGAGACTCATCAAAAGGTTCCGGGAATCATTTAGTTTGGTGGGATTTAATCACTCTTTCTCGTGATGAAAGTGGCCTAGGTATTGGAAATCTCTCCAAAAGGAATAGAGCTCTCTTATCCAGATGGGGATGGAGGTTTGGCATGGAGCAATTTGCTCTTTGACATATGGTGGTGGCTAGCATCTATGGTTCTGATTGCGAGGGGTGGAGTACTTTGCCCAAGCAGAACGGCTCAGGGAGAAGCCATTGGTCTAGCATTTCTAAATCTTGGCAGTAGGTGGCCTCTTATTCTCATTTCAAAGGTTGTAATGGTAAAAGAGTTCATTTTTTGCATCATCTATAGGTCGGAGATGCTTTGTTGAAGACAGATTCCCCACTATTTATAGAATTTCCTTGGCCCCTTCTCTCTTGGTTGATGATGCGTGGGACAGAGGTGTGTTTAATTGGCGAATTCTCACCAGACGTTCATTGAAAAATGAAGAGATTGTTGAGTTAGCAATCTTTTGTACTTACTTTCTTTGATTTCACTTTATGAGACAGAGGATGTTCGGTTTTGGAGTTTGGAGAACTCGGGTGCTTTCACCGTCAGTTCTTTAGGAAAGATTGGGGCTGTTTCCTCTCTTTATCATAAGGATGTGTACTCTTAACTTGAATAGTCCAAAAATGGTCAACCTTTTGACTTGTATTCTTCTCACAGGCAAAGTCAATACATCATAAATTCTCCAAACGAAGTTGCCCTTTATGTTTCTACAGCCTACGATTTGTTTATTGTGTGTTGCTAGTGGTGAGTTTCAACAGCATGTCTTCTTCTCCTTACGCAGCTGATTGTTGGGCTCTCTTCTTCTCTTTGTACATCTCCGGGTTTCGAACTTGGAGACCTCAAATAATATTATACAGCTCTATTGTGGTGTCCATTTCCATAACAAAGCTAATCTTCTATGGCTTAATGGGTGTAAAGTCATCATCTCATAATTATGGTATGAAAGATTCTACAGCTCTATTGTGGTGCCCGTTTTCATAACACAGCGGGTTTTTTAAGGCAAGCACAGATCCTATGTGGATTGTTTTTCTACAGCAAAGTATAAAGCCTCGCAATGGTGTGCTCTCTCCAATCTATTCTCTAATTTGATGCAGCACTTCACAAGGTTTTTTAAGAAATGATTCAATGCCCTTTCACTAAAAGGCTGAAACCTATTTATAGAGGTTTCAAGCTTAAAAATTACATGAGTAACTATTGTTACTGTGCAGTAAAAGTAAAGCTATTAAAATAAAAGCTATAACAGTAGCTAATAAACGAGAAAAGCTATGAAGAGCTACTTAACTACATCATAATTATTCTCCAAGTATGATTTGTATGGATTGGGAGGCCTTTATAACTCCCCTTAGTGATGTTCTTGCTGTCTTTATTGTCATTTCTAGTTTTTGTTTCTTTCTGTTCTTTTTTCACTCCTTTTGGAGTTTGTATCTCTGAATATTTCTCCTTTTCATCGATCAATGAAGAGTTTGTTTCTTGTTAAAAAAAAAAGTCTTGCATGTGCTCCCATACTTGTTTGCTAAGATCTTTCGAAAACTCAAGGTGCCTAAATGCAAGGATTCTGTGAGAGTCCTTTAGGAGTATAGGGGAATATTAGTTTGTTAGTATGAAGGGGTAGTATGGTAAAAAGTATGCTAATTAGTTAGGGTGAGTCCTTATAAATAAGGGTAGTAGGGAGAGGAGAAGGATATCTTGGAGAATAGTTTTGTGTAAGGAACTTGAGAGAGTTCTTGGGAGAGAGATAGCCCTCTCGAAAGACTATCGATATTGTAATTACTCTTTTGAATTGCAATATAGTTATCTTGTTAGGTTCTTGGATTTGGGATCCTGACAGACTCATTAACCACCTAGAAGTCTCAACTCTATGGACAAGCCCCACTATCCTTAGCCCAAGCAAGAGCTCTTTATGCAGGAGTAACCAGGAGGATGCCAATCATCTATTTTGTCACTGCCATTTTGTCGCTTCTTTATGGTTTAAGCTGCTGGAGGTTTTTTATTCGAGCTGGTCCAGAGTAATTCAGCAAAGGCTTCTCTTTTTTTTTTTTTTTTAACAAGAAACGAAGCAAAGGCTTCTATTGTTCAAATCCTTAATGGTCAAACTTCAACCATTCAACCACTAGAAAGAAGACACTTTGGTTCAGTGCTAATACAACATTTTTTGGACAGTTTGGATAGAGGAATAGAAGAGTGTTCAAAGACATGGAGAAAACGAGGGATCATGTGAGGTGATATAGTCTTTTATTTTTTGTCTGTTTGAGCTTTTAATCGATACATTTTTTGTAATTACTCTCTTTTGGCTTTACTGACCAGGTAGAGAACTTTTTTGTCACTCTACAGTTCTCTGTATGTAGTACATATTGTACATGCTATAATAATAATAAAGTAACAGCTTATCGGTGGCAATCACCTTATTCAAGCACTTGGCAAAATATACAGGATGAACCAAGCTAGAAACATCTGGAACTCCCCAGTCAACTGGAATATCAGACAAATCAGTTTCCACTACCTATAAGACCAAGAGAGAAGTGGCTACATTAACTCCAGAATATAAATGAATTGGGAAAGATAAGGAAAAAGAAAATCAGAAAACTCTGAACCGAAACTAGACAACTAGATATTTACCTCAATATAGTCATAATCAAAAGGAACAACATCACCATTGCCACTATCTGGCGCATTATAATCTCCAACTATCCTCCTACTCTCATACATTTGCATGTCCATTCCAATCAAAGCATTCTGAGGGTGAAGAAGTTAAATAAATACCATAAATCTCTCTACAATGTTGAGGTAAGGAGGAAAGAAGTAGAGAAACTTCAGGACATAAAGAAAATAGGAGGTCTCCAAAAGCATTTGATAATAATGAAATATGTAGATATAAAACAATTAACTTGGACCTTTATTGATTCATTCCAATAATAAATCTAAAATATGTAGATCCTTACCACAGGATTGTGTGCTCCACGATCTTCTAACATGTTCACATTGTCAAAAATTTCAAAATACAAATCTGTAAAGAACAAAATGTTACCAAGATTTATTCAGTAACTAAGCTACAGTATGCGCTCATCCATCACAAATGACAAACCATTAACAAGAGAAAGTCAATAAATATTGAGAAGAAATAAAAAACCTCCATAATCGTCGATAACATATTGAAACTCATCCCAAGATACTTGTTCGTGTGGTTCACTGTGCACAGTTCCAGGAAATAATAGCAAAGCGTTGCTATTGACCTAATATAGGGAAAAAGGGATAAAAAAAGAAAAGTATGACTGGACAGGTCATTAGGTGAAACCACACTCAATTCTACCCTAATGTTATCTCCATAGCATACAATATTTTCCATTAACCACATGTCAGATCACTTCTATTTTATCTAAAAACTTGAATATAATCAAGAAGAAACACCTAGTGCATCAATCCAAACCTCCACAGCTGTCCTTGCTACTTCTGCTGCAGTGAGTTCAGTGTCCCGTGCTCTTTTGCAAACTTTTAGATCTTCAAGAGGATGATAACCTTGGTTAGTCAAGTAACTTGATGAATCTGGAACTGAATCTGGATAATCTGCAGCAACTGAAACTTTTGACAAGCGAAGGTCACGTCCCTTAGACAACCAATGTAATTCTGTTGATCCAAACATTGGGTTTCTGCCACTAAAAAATTACCACAGAAACAAAAAACAAATATTCAATTCTTAAACGGAAATGACAAGTTAAAGACATGATATCAAAAGACCTCTTGGCTGAGACCACGACAACAACAACAAAAAAATAAATAAATAATTAATTGCAAATAAGGAAGTACGTTGATATATTTTTTCATTATCAAAAGTTTACTCCATGAGAATTGAATTTTTTATCTTAACCGTCCAATCAAAGTTACATGCATTTCAAATAATATCATGAGACAACTACCAGATCTTGCATTGTGTAGCATTGAGGAACTAGTGAAGTTTATCAAATTTATAACTTCACTCCAACCTCACCTACTGAATTGGCAACAGAACAATATATGCTTCTGATGTTCCTCATTTTGTCAGCAAAGCACACACCAATTTGAAAACAAACTCCAAGACACCTCTTCAGCAGTATTATACACTTTTTTTTTACAAGATACGAACTTTTCATTGATATATGAAAAGGAACAAAACTGTTCAAATATATAAACTCCCGAAGGAGGGATAGAGAAAGCAAGAAATAGAAAATAAAACATAAGACAAGACTACAAAGGAGAAATAAAGGCCTCCCAATTCTTACAAATCATACTAGGAGAATACGAAGAGAACAGATCGGAAAGAGCACACCATTGAGAAGCTTTGAATTTGGCAATGTTGAAGCATTCCAATGGCGGGCGACAAGAATCTTCAAAAATCCTTTGATTTCTCTCRAACCAKAATTCTGAGATGATAGCCTTAAAWCCATTAATCCAAAGTAGATTAGCTTTAGGTGCCAAYCCAACWCCATGTAGAATCTGAAAAATATTATTAGCAGYCWCACGATCCCACACCCATACTAATTGGAACATCTGGAGAAAAAGATTCCAACAAACAGCARCATATGGGCAGAAMAAGAAGACATGATTTAAGCTTTCTTCATTTTCTGCACATAAAAAGCAAATGGATGGCTGTAAAGCCATCTTAGGAGACTTTCTCTGCAAAATATCTGCTGTATTGACTTTGCCATATAATAGAATCCAAATTAACATATTAACTCGTTTTGGGCTGCCCGAACTCCAAAGAGAGAGTAGAAGAGCTTTTGAAACCCGCAAATCAGCTATTTGAGACTTGCACAGAGAAGAAACAGAGAAGAGGCCCGACTTTTCCAAACTCCAACAACGAACATCATCATTTTCTGAAATAGTAACTGAAGAAATGCAAGAAAGAAGCTCCGAAAGCTCCAAAATCTCCTCATCTTTCAATGCCCTTCGAGTTACAATATTCCATGAAGAGGACTCACTATCCCAATCTTCCGAAACCGAAATAAGAGGAGAAGCCGAAATGCTGTAAATAGAAGGAAATCTATCCTTTAAGAGAGAGACTCCAATCCATAAATAATGCCAGAAGAGAGTTCTCCGACCATTGCCAACTTTGAAAAAAGAGGATTTCTCCACCTAAAGCCACTGTTTGATGATATTATTCCAAGGACTACGACCCGAACCATGAAGTTTAAGTATCGCATTCCAATTAAAACGGTCAGAACCGTATAAGTTGGCCACCACCCTACGCCATAAAGCTTCTGTCTCCAAGCTGAACCTCCATCCCCATTTGGATAAAAGAGCATTATTGCGCTTAAGAATACAACCAATGCCTAAACCACCTGCTTCCCGCGAGAGGGAGGCAATATCCCATCTCACCAAATGTCTCAAGGACCCTTTCGAAGAGTCGCCCCACAAAAAGGAACGCATCTTTTGCTCAATTTGTTTACTAACTCTCACTAGGACTTGAAAAATAGATAAGTAATAAAGGGGAATGCTCTCAAGTACATATTGACATAAAGTCGCTCTTCCACCTTTTGATAAGTGATACTTTTTCCAACGATCAAGTTTCTTAGAAATTCTTTCTTGAACTAGAGCCCAAAAAGAGCTTGGGATTTCCTCCTAACGGCAGGCCCAAATAGGAAGACGTTCAGCTTTGCAACAAAAAGAATTTGCAACCTGCACAACCCTTTGGTCTTCCATATTTATGCCACTCAAAGATGATTTTTCCCAATTCACTTTAAGGCCGGACAACCACTCAAAAGCTTTAATGGCTTCAAATAGGATCTTAAGCATCTCATCATCATCTTTACAAAACAATAATGTGTCATCAGCAAATTGCAAGTGGGAGATGTGAATTGAATCCCTTCCCACTACAAAACCTTCGAACACTCCTTTTTGGTAAATGTTGTCCAAAAAACTACTAAGCACATCGCTTATCAATAAGAATAGGAAAGGAGAAAGGGGATCTCCTTGCCTCAACCCTCTTGAAGCCTTAATTCTCCCTCTCGGTCTCCCATTAATGAAAACCAAAAAGATATTGCCTCTAATACAACCGTTTATCCAATTAATCCACTTTTTGCCAAAGCCTTTCTGTTTGAGGACATCTGAAAGAAATGCCCAATCAACTTTATCAAATGCTTTTTCCATATCGAGTTTCAAAATCCACCCTTTCTTCTTTCTACTTCTATAATCATTCAATGAGAATAGGATCAAGAATCTGCCTTCCACTTAAAAAAGCACTTTGATTACTAGAGATGGTAGAAGAGATAACCTTATTAAGCCTTTCTGCCAGCACTTTTGCCAAAATCTTATAAGTAGTCGTCGTAAGGCTAATGGGACGGAAGTCTTTTACTTTCTCCACTTTGTCTTTTTTCGGAACAAGACATATAAAAGTCTCCTTAATACACGAGTTCAGTTTGCCATTATCATAAAATTCAGCAAAGAATCTTGCAAAATCTGCCTTCAAGAACTTCCAGAATTTAATGAAAAACTCTGCTATAAAGCTATCGGGCCCTGGGGCCTTATTCTTGCCAAGGTCTTTTAAAGCATCCCAAATTTCTCCTTCCTCGAAGTGTCTTTCTAACCAGACACTATTCTGAGCTGAAATAGGTCTCCAATTGAAGCCAATTGGTAAAAATCGCTGCTGTCCATCCTCTCTGTAAAGAATTTCAAAGTACTGCACAATTTCCATCTCAATATCCCTCAAATTCACAAGAGAATTCCCTGCAGAATCTTGCATCTCAGAAATTAGAGCTTTTCTCCTTTTTGCTACCAAGAATCTATGAAAGAATTTGCTATTTTCATCTCCTTCAGCCAACCACCTGATTTTACTTTTTTGCAAAAGATAATGTTCCTCTCGAATATAAAGATCAAGCAGATTCTGTTTTAAGGAACATCTCTTCCCCACTTCCTCGATTTCTAACCCCGACTCCTCCTCTTTCTCATCAAGCAAAGAAATTTCTTCAATAATTTTTGCTTCTGCAACCTTATCCTTCCTTTCTTTCTGTTTGTRYCATTGCTTCAGAGCGATCTTCAGATTTCTAAGCTTAGCAGAAATAAGATAACCTGCCYACCCGTAGGATCTATCCTCYGAAAGCTTGGATTCAATTAAATTGATACAKTCCTTATCTTTCAACCAGGAGTTAAAGAATCTGAAAGGGCAAGGCCCCCAAACAAATTCTCCTGAATCTAGAAAAATAGGGTAGTGATCCGATGTAATACGTTCACCTCTATATACACGAGAGTTATGAAAGARAGAGTCCCAATCTGAAGAAACAAAAAATMTGTCCAGCAATGAATGCGTATTGTTATTTCCCATCTTTGACCATGTATACCGGCCATTGGATAAGGGAATTTCCTGGATTTCAAGCTCTTCAATGATTTTATTAAATTTCCTCATTGCCTTAGACTGCCTTCCACCCGAAGACCGATCAGAAGCCCATCTCGTGACATTAAAATCCCCTCCCATACACCAAAGTTTGATAGAGAATCTAGCAATATTACAAATTTCATACCACAATTTCTTCCTTTCTTTTAACTCGTTGGGCCATAAATGTTGGTGATACATATATCCTGTAGATTAGAAAAAGAGCACATTATGGTTAATGAAAAAACTCCTTCAAGGACTTCCTGAATAGCTACTTTGCTTTCATCCCATAATGCAATGAGGCCTCCTGATTTTCCCGCCGATACAATCTGAGCCCAGCCAATATCTCGAGAACTCCAAAGTGACTTGATCACCATAATATCAATCTGTTGTAGCTTGGATTCTTGAATGAGTACTATGTCCGGACAATGCTTCAAGATAAGTTTCTTGATTTTTAGCCGTTTCTTATAACAACATAGGCCACGGACATTCCATGACATAATCTTCATTGAGAATTCTGAATTGGGACCACCTCTATCCCCACRGATTCAAAGAAWGGRGGAATAGYAGTCTTGGTAACAAACTTTTCTTCCACTCTTTGGGCTGACTGTTCAAGGTTGGAGTTAGAGAGATCCTTGTCTAAATCAAAGAGATTAGGAAGKACTTCATCAGAAAGAAATTCGGATGAATTATCARAGTCGGAAATAAAATTCATTCGATCAGGGGAAGGATCAGGGCTACTAAGACTCACATTAAGWYYTYYT